CGATTGCGGAAGTCAGATTTCCTTGCTGAACGTTGAACCTCTGGTGGTGGACGGTACAATTATCAATGCGAAACCCCGCATGGGTATCAACAGATATACCTGTCAAAGAAAAAGGAAAAACCCCACAAAATCAACGAACGTACGGTTAGCATTCGTGTTTCTTGAAAAATTTGTCGTGATTTAGTACTTACCGTGATCATTGCTCATGCCCTGTTGCTACATGAACGTAAACGTAAAAGTTGACTTTGACGGTTCGATGCGAACATGGGGAGAAGTACAGCAGTGCGATGCAATGCGCGACGGAGTGACGCCGATGAAACGCGTACGGACCGGGACCAGATAGGATTGGATAGATCTAGAGGATTGACTGTCAGTGCTGATGATGATAAACCAAGGGACGCGAAGTGGCTGATAGTGAGAGTGAACGCGCGCGGGGCGGGTGGCGGCGAAAAAGATGGTGCATAATGCGCCATGCAATGATGTTGATGCTGAACGTACAGACTTTGATAGATGGACGGACCGACGACGAGGACGTGCGTGGATGCTTTTCGTGAATGCCTATGGGTGTGAGAGCGAGTAATAGATACAGAGTAGATGAAGGTAAATACCGTGCGATTGGTGGTTTTGTCCGCTCCACGAGCAAAAGTCAATCCAGGGCAGAACGAAATCAAGGAAAGATCCTCCTTTCACCTCGGCGTACGATTACGAAACCCAAGAACATTTAGAGAGCAACTCGAGCAACTCCTCAAATAAACGAAAGCAAGCAAACTACAACAATACATAACGATACAACAGCAACAAGAAAATAGTACAATGTGATTCTACAAGCAAGGAATTCAGAACGGTGGAGGAGGTGGCGATACTGGCCATTCGAAATCGTGAGGAACTCTTCGTACGAAGAGCGGCATCTGATTTCCTCGCTCGGGCTCGGACTTGACGCATGGTCGGGTGACGACGCTGCACAGGACGACCACAATGAGTACGAGTTCGGAAGAGGAATGCAGGAGAATGGGCTTAATGAAAGAAAGAGAAAACATCGCGTCATCGCAGCGCCACGATCCATGGTAGCGAAAAACCAATGTGTGGGACTGCGATGGTGCGCAATGAATCGAAATGAAGGAGAAAGTAAGGAGAGAGGCCAATGTGAAGATTGAAAGCAATGCGGAATGCGGAGAAAAGGACAATCTCCTGCGATGCGAGGAGAGATACGAATGAAAAGGCGACAAAAGAAAGGCAAAAGGGCAGCTGAGGCCTGAGGCCTGAGGGCGTTCGCCGAGGAGAGAGGATCCGTGCTCAGTAACGCCGTGCACGCTTCGCTCCCACAAGTCAAATTTACCGCACAACAGTGCGGGGCAGTAAGAGGGAGGAGCACGCAATAGGCAGGCAGCATGGAAGTACACTTGGAGGCGCGGAAGCAAGGAGGAGATGAAGGAATGATGATAGTGAATGGTGATGTGGGTGATGCCGAACGGATAGATGAAGCTTTGGGTCCATAGTGCGTATTATGACGAGGATAGCTTGGTGCGAGGTACCCGGGAGGTAACCACGATGGTAATGAAGCCAAGATCCACCTCCTCAATGAATGCCAGAAATAACACGAAGGAAAGCACGAAAAGGAAAAGGAGGTAGGGCAACTCACTTGATTTTTTTCTCGATAACCACGGTCGGGTCAATGGAGAACTCCAGATCCCGGAGGAGGACGAACAAAAATACTTTTATCCTACGATGATAACAAGAAAGTTAGCGTTCAGTTACGCAAGCTTCAAGAACATGGACGGCAAAAGACAAATTTTCGACATCCAGGAAGAACACCCGGAAGGAGCCAATTATGACGCTTCGTCTCAGGATCCAAGATCCCCGCATCATCCTCGAGGCATCCTCATATCCGCCCAAACAAGCTCAAGCTTGACATAAAATGTCAGGAACCCCAGAGCCAAGTTGGCCGAGTGCGAACTCGATAAGTGGACATAAAGCGATGCGGTCTTATGACACGCATACACCGATGCGGATCGAAACGAATAGACGACGAAGGTCAAATTAAAAAGAGATCTGAATAGGAGAAGTTCACAGTGCGGGTAGCAAAACTGCAAAGCTCAATTTATCGATTGAGTCTTTTCATTTCTTCACTTTCGCGACCGTTCCGCCTCGAGGAGCCTCCGAAGGAGTTTATTTGACCATATGAATTGGTCGAGGTCGGAATTGAGATTAAAAAGTACGAGGGAAGGTGCGTAATTGCGACTTTGAATGCAACCGCGGAAAACCAGCGGGCATGAGGTTCGCAGATGGGACAACGAGCATGAGAACAGGATCTCAATGCCCGAACAGAAAGTCGAAAGGGAAGATGGAGAGGGAAAAAGAAAGGATAAGTTCACACTCACTCTAGAATTGCAAATTTGTACCCGATGCAAGAACGATTGCCATTGACCGTGTTGCCATTGAGAAACGTGAGGATATTCGACCAGAGACCGGGCACTGCACATCTCGACTGAGATGCTTCCGCCCATCGCTCAGGTCTAAACTCCCTCGCATCAGGGCCCCAGATGACCCGGCTTCGGTTTATAGCTTGAATCGGCACGCTGATGATATCGCCCTTCTTGATTTCGATGCTCGTACGGCGTTGGCCATCGCGATCGAGATACCCACCTGGAGCGCCGACGGGGATTGCATCGTGAGCTTTCTTACAGACACGCATCGTGTTGGTGACTGGGGAATGGAGTCGTAATACTTCACGGACTACCCAATCCAAGTAGGGCAGACGCGTTAGCTCATCGTCAAGCTGGGGATCTCCGATAGGGATGGACTGAAGAGGTCGGAAAGACGCCCGTAATTTCGACTGCACTTCGGGGCTTTTTGCGAGCGCGTATAAGGTCCAGGTAAGCGCTGAAGCTGACGTTTCGTGCCCGGCGGCAATGAAAGTCGAGATCTGACATAAGATTTCGGACGTTGACATCCTCAAGTGAGATGCCACAGCGAAATTCGAGCGCACTGAGGGAAAGAAGGATTAGGTAGTGCATACAGTTATGAAACGCATCGTTGGTAACTTACTCAACAAACCGAGTAGATCTCGAGCTTGCCCAGGCTCGGGACTATAGCTATGGATGTCTCCCTCGCTCTTCTTTGCGAGTGCCTCTTGAGCATCAATTTGAGCGGCGGCACGTCTTTCATCGATCAGTTGTAAGCTGATGTCACGTATTGTCTTGCGCATGTGCTTCTCTGAACTCTCTTCCCGTCGCTAAGCCACAAATACACGATGAGATGATTGGTTCCTCGGGAAGAACATAAGCGACTCACGAATTTCCGAAGGATGGGAAACCAGGTCGCTAAGATGATCATGAAACGGAATGTGCTTGCAGTAGCAAACACTGCCGCAAACGCATCCGCAAGGGCGTTTGAATTGTCTGAAAGCGCGTCGAATGAATACCCAAAGCCTAAAGATACCCGGCGTAACGTATAGACGTGAATAGATGAGTGAAGGTGTTCGAGAAGTCGTTTGTAGCCTCACCAGCGAGTCCAATCACATCAAGTGTCGCACGTCCGAGCCACGCAAGAACATCAAGCTTCGCGCCTTTCGACCAATGCTTTTCGTCCTTTGCATCATAACGGTGGCTCTCCTGCTGCTGTTCAGCGAGCGCCGACCAGATATCACGAATCTATATTATGTCTTTGATTAAGTGATGTATTCGTCGCGATTGGATAAGATAAATTCACCTCAGCTGCCTTTTCCCAGAACACAGGTGTGACGGCTCTGAGGCTTGATGCTGAAAAGGCAGGTTGTAGAATCTTACGTTGACGCGTGTGCTGTTCCCCTTCGGTTGTCAGAAGGCCTGTCGCGAGGTTTATGTTGAATCTCTGATGTCTGTTCGGAAACATTCACAGACGCACCATCATGCCCGGCAGCCATACTTGCCAATCCATCTCGCACGAAGTCGGGTTTGGGATAGTCGTACGCATTTCCAAGGATGTAGGCCACGGCGCGGATGTCCGTCGTCATCAATCTGCTCCCACTAAGAAAGCCTCGAAATGCGAATACAGGACCGTATTCCTCTTCCCAACGGTCGATGAGATAGTTGTTCTCTTGGTCGTGCATGTCCATAAGATTTCCCCATAACATCGACGGTATCGGTGGACATCTTAGACGACGCAGAGGAGAAAGATATTGTCGAATGAGGATCTTGATGAGACCTGAAGCGAAAGTGCTGAGGAGGATAATGAAGACAGCCACGAAGATGAGAGATGATGATTTTGGACGAAGTGAGCCACTCGACGTCGGGAGGTTGTCGATGATTGTGTGGTTGAATATCATGGTTCTACTGACCAGCAGCGGGTGCAAGGACGTCGTCGTCGTCGTTTGTGGAGAAGAAAAGAAAGGCGGGAGGGAGAGGCCAGCTCTTCGCGTCGTCGTGGTTGCTCTTAAGGACGCTAGCCGGACGGCAACCCAACGCTTGGCGACGATTGGACCGACAACGCCGGGGACAGTTCTGTGGCGGTGTCCACGTGGCTCTGTCCGAGAACGCCGTCCTCGATTCACCCCATCCAGGCGATTTCGCCCAATTCAGGAGGCAAAGAGCTGATTCTTCCGACGAAGACCTGATCTCTTCGCACACGCACAATCGCTATCTCCACTTCTATGTCCTCGATACACGTTCAAACCGTTGTTCGGTCGGTTTCAACCCTAAACAAGGGCAGAAGTCATCCGAGATGGATCGTCAACATTTGAACGAGATGTTTGAAAGTAGAATATGTAGTCAGAAGATAAATTTGAAATTGTGAAGTCAAGGTCTGGGAAACGTCCACTACGGGAAAAGAGTGCCCTAAACCAGGCTTCCCAGTACCGCACAGAACACCGCATTGTTTCTATGATAAAATTGAAAGAGTTTAAAATGAAAGAGCTGGAAAACTTGCAACGCCCCTTTGACCTTGAAAATCGGACTCTTTCGATACACAGCTCGTTTGTGAACACTGAGCACGTCATATAAGTTTTTGTTTCTTCGATAAACTATGGATACATGGCGCAATGGTAGCGCGTTAGGCTTCGATTGCCTCTCCCAACCTAAAGGCTGCAGGTTCGAGTCCTGCTGTGTTCATATTTTTTGAGTTTTTGAGCTACAGAGTAATGTTCAAAAGTTCAATTTTTACCAGTCAAATGTTCGTTTTTGTTACGAGTACCACTGGAAGTACAGTGCTAGTGTGCGCGGCGCGGCGCCGGCACGCGTGGCAGGTGGTCTCGTTTGCAACGCAAGCAAGTAACCCACAGTCTAATTCGGCATACTATACGTACGATCTGCTTGAATAAATACATATTGAGTATGTTTTATCTGTTTATTTCTTCGGAATGACATTATCCATAAAACTCGCCAGAGGCCGCTCAGAATTAGATGGTGTAAGAGACGGAAGAAAGATTGGATGGGACGATTCGTGTGATGTCATAACTCCTCGCTCCCCACTGTGACCAAGATATAATCAATGCGAATGACTGACGATGTTTCCTATTCCACCTACGACCATGTCGAAGTACACTGGTGGATGCTACTGCCGAGCTGTCCGGTACGAGATTAACCGCAAGGAAGGAGATGGCAGTATGAGCATACGGCACTGCCAAAATTGCAAGGTGCGTACGATTCGACCTCGAGGACCAAGACACCAGACCAACTTGACCGAGACAGAAATTCACCGGTTCGGAGAACGGGATAACCACCAAAGTGCCTAAGGACGCCTTCACTGTAACCAAAGGCCACACGAAGGTGCACGAAGGTGACAACGGATCGGGCACGAACCTCATTCGCGAGTTCTCTGTGTGTACGTAAGGCTCTCAACCTGGTGATGTCTTGGGAGTACTGAATGTTCATCCCGATGAGAGCAGGAACCCCTCAAGGACCAGAGCCGTTATGTGTTTTATGGTTCTTTGGATAACCCCCCGAGAAACTCCCTCCGAAAGGCGAATTCTTTTGCAGTCAGAGAGCGCAATGGATGCCGGAGGTGCCAGGTGCGAGATCATAAAATTCTGGTTGAGTCACTGTACTTACAGGTGTATCGATTAGGAGTGTTCCACAAGGACAAGGTCAAAGACTAATGCGGAGGGCCCCGAAGTATACAAGCGACAAGGCCTTGTATAATAATCTCGTTTATACGATACACTAAGATGAGAAATAAAATTCAGTCATCAAAATCAGAATGGAACAGATAAGTTACAGCAGGAAGTGAGAGGGTCATTGGCGTGTCTGTTACTCGATGACTTCGGTGTCGTCGTCGTCGTCTTCCCGTTCCTCCGCCATGCGCTTCTCGCGACGAACATATGCCTTTACTTGTCTGACAAACTCATTATCCGGCTACCAAGAGGTATCAGCATCGCAACTCATATGATGAAGCAAGAATGAACGTACCACGTAGTCGGACAGCATTTGTTCTCGACTGCACCCAGCTCCAGGACATGTCTTACGTTTGCCATCGGCGAAATACGATCTTATACCATCCTCAGAGAAAACATGCTTGCATACTCTCCTGCGCGTAGGGAATTAGCCGCCAAAAAGACAAAGGACTGCAAGGACGAAAGACGCACGAGCGGAGCGGTTTCTCCATAGGAAGAAGAGTGAGAGTACATTTGAAATTCTGGCTGACACCTCCAACGGCAAGGTCTTCGTCATCGGAATCATCCCCTTCCTCTGTATTGCATAGTTGTATCGGCCTCCACACAAATATTTCAGAAGATTGAGTGTCTCACCTCGACTAATGAACTCCGTCATTGGAGGCATCGCTTCTCCGGGATGTTGTACCTCCTGTGACACGGATTAGCCTTCAGAAGTTGAAATTGAGACGGTGACGAACGTATATTCTTTGCCTGAATAGTTGGTATGGCGAATCATTCTTGCTGATAAGTTTCTGTCTCGTCGTTTTGCCTGCCCACTCCTCCTTCTTTTTCTGGACACCATCATTATAGAGATCCAATACATCACTCTAGAGAAACATGTATTAGATTCAATTTAACAGCGAGAAGGATATCGAAACGAACCGTATCTTCTCGAGCAACTTGATTACGAATGTCAAGAAGCATGTCATAGTGCGCTTGGATTTCCGCTGCCGTGTCTACAAACTCTCGCATCTTGATATCCATCTTTTCGAGTTCTTTCAGTGCCTAAGAGGAGATTAAACTGTGTCATTGATCCATTTGAATGAACTTCAATACCAGGTCTTTCTCATTTCCTCTCCCCTCCCCCACCTCGGCCATGGCTTCAGCGACTTGAGGCGCCATGGTCATGGCCGAGCGTTCCCAGTTCCCAACAAACCGATCCCATTCTTTCGCTATGCCAGCAATGACGAGGCCGTCTGTTTGGCGCGACAAAGGTTGGTTTTTGAAGTTGTCGAGGTCGAGCCAAGCGCCCTCATCGACCTCTTCTTCATTGTTGTCCGCCGGCGCGGTGGCCTCAGCGCCATCACCTCCTTCTTCGTTGCCGTCTTCATCTTGAGTCCGTGCCGACCGACGCGTTTTCTCCTTCTTGACCTTCTTTTGTGGTTTCTGCTGCGCGCTACCTCGCCGACGCGGCTGTTCCTCTTCGCTCGCGTTCCCGTTCTCGTCCACATCTTCCTGGTTTTCGTCTTGCGTCGGGTCCTCCTCAATGCGATCAGACGAGGGCTCTCTTCGGGCTCGACTTCTACGGTTTCGAATAGTTGGCATGATGGCGTGTGTAGAGGTGTTTGTAATGTTTGTGGTTCGATGGAGATATTCAGCAGCGCAAAAGATTTCGCCGCGACGCGTCTAACCGGTGCTTTAGGGCCGGCTTCATCGCGTGACCTTTGGCTGGGCAGAAAATTCTGCCACCTTGAAGAAAAAGCATTTCTTCACCGAACCACTGGCACGACCAAGAGATGGCGACCTCGAGCGATCAAGTACATTCTATTTCTATGAATCTACGTTGATAAAGAAAAGGATTGAAGTATCCATCCGATGGGTGATTCATATTCGAACCTCATCTGGCAGGCTCGAAAACTGGAATGAGGCCACGACAATCACCGTCGAAGACTTCGAATCGCTCTTTCAAGAGTCCCTCGATTGCGGACTTCGAATGTCAAATCGAAAACTATCTATCAGCCGCAAAAACGTTCGTCTGGCATCTCAAGGAAGAAATGGTCTATCTTGTCAATTAGGACGCGACATCGTATGATCTCTGAGTCCACCCTCCATCCAAATCACACTTCAATCATAGGTTCAGGTGTGGATGCTCCCGTAGGAACACATCTGAAACCTGAGACACATCAATCCTTACCCCCGTTGCTTTGGTACTTCGCAACTCTTGTTCGTGGACCCGTTTACCTCGCGTTAATGCACCGATACCCCTTGACCTAGGTGCTTTAATACCTCGGAAATCGCTCATGCAAGTGGCTGAAGCTGAAACCGTTTCCATCGGGTGCACAGTACCTGTGCGAGGCAAAGCTCCGTCTCAAAGGCAGTATCGTCTCAAGTTCTCGTCCTCTGGATGACTCCTTGATGGATCTTTAAACGTGGTATCCGAAGCCTGCCGATCTCAAAGTAATGAACAACTAAAATCCTGGCCCATTTTCTGTCAGCCGAGAAAGCTATCCCGAGAACGATCCAGGCGTTCCAGTACATTAGAGCGACGTAACTCCCTTCTCCCCTCAAGAATAAACCTTGCATCCCTTATGACTTCTGACCCGCTCTTTCTCTGCATACTAGTGTCTTGCTGGAGCTTACGCATTCAATCTTTAGGGATCGCGAAAGCATAGCTCGAAGGCCCGTACATGTACTAGAAGCATCCTTGAGGTGATAAATTGCACTCTGGACAAGTGATGTGAGTACTTCTTCGCATTCTGCATGCAAATATTTTGTCCATGACGGCATCTTCGGCTTAGGAATATACCTAGATGGCAAAGACGAACGTATTCAACGGTATTGTGCCAGTCTTGAATCCATGAAGCAATTTACTAAAAAGCATGAAGAAAGTTCCCATAAATTTACGTAATGCCTTAGGGCCGGCCATTTGGGTCTACTTCACCCAAGGCTCCATCGTTCTTGTTACGCGTCGATGCTAAATGAGCATTTCATTAGACATGTTGTCTGACATACACGCTCGACAGTAGGAACTGACATTCACGGCCGAGACGTACGCAAAGTGCCGCTCGCGCTCCGTTGCCAATGAAATTGCCTCGAGGGTGCCTGCACGTTGAATCGTTTTTGAGGATCGGGATAGCCGCCAATTCGTCAGTTACTCCTATCTTTTGCAGTTCCTTTATTACGCTAATGATGCACTTGTTCTAATCACCTAGACTCTTCGTCGTCTCTGTACCCCGGAAAGAGCACATTGATCAAAACGTTTTCATTAGAAACGCATTGCTTGTGCGAGGTGCTACGTGACCTAAGAACTATCGGTGTCGATGGAAGCACTCCGCGCAGACTTTTTTTGCCGAGCGACCAACGTGACCAGCTTGAACAGGAAGTTCGTGTGTTTGTAGGAGTATCACCTGGAACGCATCACCGCATGTTGGGACCTCGGATATGTACTGATCGACAACGGCTCCATTTTCACGCATATCATACTTTCTATGAACGAGGCGCAGGGCATGGGTCTGTTGCTGTTTATAAGTGATAGACAGGCTGCGTTCTCTCCCCTCACCTATCCACGACTGACCAATGTCAGTAGTAAATCGAGAAGACGAGCAAAATGGCTTCGCTTCCGTGTCTCATAACGATTCGGATTCCGACCGAAGTTCTGTGGGGTCGCGGGGTTTTACAAGCCAAGGACTGCGGACGCTGGTGATTGGAGACGAGCGGTACACTGGTAGTGAGCGTGCAGACGGTAAGCTCTTTGATTCAGGTAAAGGTCCAGTCTTAATTGATTCTCTACAGAATACCTTTCGCCCCTGTCTCCAGGTAGAACCACGCCCACTTTTATTGATTGAAAAGCTGACATCTCACAAGTCGTCCCGACCATGCGCGATCCCGCCGCCCAGCGATTCGACGATTTTATTCGGCAAGCTCGACTCAATGACTCGTTGTGTGTCATCCATTGATCTTTTGACCTTGATTTATTCATATTAAGGTCTACGAAACAGCTAGAGAGTCTTGTGAGTGAAT